AAGCAATTACCTTTGATACCAAAGATTTTCGGCAGAATACTCCTTAAAATCTGTAAATTTGGTACGTCGCTGGACAATTTTATCATCACTGCTTGATGTAATCCTTCCTCCTTTGCAAATTCTTCACGTTCATCCATGGAAAATTGAATGGTAGGAACTCCATGAACAATTTCAAAAGGTTTCAAACTCGTTTTTGTGAGAGATGTGGCAGATTGCTTTTGATTCAAACTTGCTGCATATGTAACAAAGTTGTTGATGTTTGGAGTAACTTCATTTGAGTTTGGATTCTGCTCTCCCACAGCCAAAGGTTGGGGAGAGATGTTGGCTGCCATGGAAAGGCTCTATTACGCACAAGTTTCAACACTACATCGCACAGAAAAGAAGAAGCTGCCCAGATACACTGTTTTGCTACAGTAATGGACGAACCAATTTGTAGATCTGTAACAATTGACTATGGATTTGAGGGTGAAACCAATTGGGGATTGTGCGCAAAGAGAAAATGAATCTTTTGATATCAAGTTTGCGAAAATCCACTGCTAGATTCCGAAGTTATGGCCGATGAATAGTAACGGATTTACTATTCACCCTTCTTCCTAGAGAGAAGGAAGAGTGTATTTATTAGCTTTGTTGCTTCTTCCTATTCACCCTTGTAGGGACAATATTCCATCTCTCCTTCTGGCTAGACTGCATTCTATCTCTCCTTCCAACTTGTTAGGACTTCCCTGATTCTCCCTGGCATAACCCATTTAATTCCCCTCAGGTTGATGAATATCTTCCAAATTTGATCTGTGACACTGTAGTGCAAAAAAGATGGTTGATTGTCTCCTCCTGAGCTTTACATAAGTAACATCTGGACCCCAACTGATATCCTCTCTTCGTGAGATTATCTTGGGTTAGGACAGCTTCTCTTGCTAGAAGCCAGACAAAACATGTCACTTTATTAGGTATTTTAACTTTCTAGATCATTTCCAAGGTCAACAATCAATCTGATTATTAGAATGGTTGTATTCCTTGTAAGCTGATCTAATAGAGAAAATTCCTCCTTTCCCCCCTTGCCAGAACAACATATCTTCATTGTTGGTGGTCCCTCTAAACTGTTGTACAGTATCATAGAAATCCGTCAGCCTGTCAATTTCCCAAACTCAAAAGAAATTAAAAACAAAATATGAAAAACTTAGTCATATAGAAATCTTCTAAATGTAAGGTTCCATTCTTGACCTGTCCAAAGTTCTCCAACAGAGGCTCTTTGTTGTTGATTCAGATTGTAAATGTCCGGAAATAGTTGCTTTAAAGTTCTCTGTCCAAGCCATTTATCTTCCCAGAAGGATTTTTTCCTTCCATTTCCAACTCTGAGACTGAGATTGTTTCTGAACCTTGGCCATGTGCTTCTGATAGACCTCCACAGACTCACCCCATAAGGAGTACAAACTGTTTTTCTTGTCCAACTACCTTCAATCCCATACCTTTCCTGAATTACCTTCTTCCACAAAGATTGCTCTGTTGTGGCAAACCTCCATAACCACTTCATCATCAATGCTTGATTCTGAATTTTCAAATTTCTGATCCCCGTTCCCCCTTATTTCTTGCTGGTAATAAGTACTTCCTACCTGACCAGATGAAACTTACTCTTATCACTGGTGTCTTGCCATAGAAAGTTTCCTCTCAGTGCATCTATTCTTTTAACTACACTGGACGAAACTAGAAATTAAAACATCATGTAAGTAGGCATGGCATCCAAAACACTATTGATAAGGATTAGTCTCCCTCCCAAAGATAGGTAATGGCTCTTCCAACTAACAAGTTTCTTTTCACATTTCTCAATTACCCCATTCCATATTCCTTTTGACTTGCTTTTTGCTCCAAGTGGCTTTCCCAGATACACTGTTGGTAGAGCTCATATGTTCCCCCCAGTATTCTAGCCAAACTATGCATCTCCATCATTTCATTAACTGGATAGATGAAACTCTTGTTCCAGTTAATGTGTAGTCGAGATATTGCTTCAAAAAGAATGAAAACCAATCTCAGAAAGAGCAATTGTTCTATGCTAGCATCACAAAACACCAAAGTATCATCTGCATATTGTAGATGGGTGATTTCCAGGTTGGTTGACTCCCTAGAGTTTACCCTGAACCCCTGATCCTATTATTTGCTATGGCAGTTTTAAACATATTGTTTAAACCTTCCATAGCCAGAATAAATAGAAAAGGGGAGATTGGATCTCCCTGCCTCAAACCTCTCGGAGAGGAGAAGAAACCAACAGGTGAACCATTGACTAAAATAGAGAATTTGACAGTACTAATGCTGAATTTGATCCAACTAATCCATCTTTCATCAAAGCCCATTTTCGAAAGTATTCGCAGCAAAAACTCCCAGTTAAGGTGATCATATGCCTTTTCTATGCCCAGCTTGCACAAGATACCAGGTTCTTTGCTCTTTATTCTAGCATCTACACTCTCATTTGCAATGAGAATAGCATCCATTATTTGCCTACCTTTGATGAAGGTCATCTATTGATTGTCCACCTGCTTGCCCATTACTTTCTTGATTCTTTCTGTTAGGAGTTTTAAGATTATTTTGTAGACACAACCTATCAGACTGATAGGTCTGAAATCTTTCAGTTCTTTAGCTCCAACTTTCTTAGGAATCAAAGCCACCAAAGTGGCATTAAAGCTTGTTTCAAAGACCCCAGTAACTTGAAAATGGACTGCAGCTATCACATCTTGACTGATCATTTCCCAGCATTGAATGTAGAAAGCCATAGTATACCCATCTGGACCAGGAGCTTCGTCCCCTGCACATGTTTTGACACTCTCCCAGATTTCATGAGGCTCAAAAGGGCTCAATAACATCTGATTATCCTCTGAGCTAATAGTTTGACAGTCCCTTAGGCTGCATTCTGGTCTCCACTCCTCAGTTTCTGTGTATAATTTTTGGTAAAAAGAAATTATCTCCCTCTTGATATCTTCAAGATTCTCCACATTTTCCCCCATTGACTTGTAGCTTGTCAATATTGTTATATCTTTTATGGGCATTTACAGTTCTGTGAAAGAACTTAGTATTTCTGTCACCTTCTTTCAACCATAAGGCCCTGGACATTTATCTCCATGTTATCTCCTCCTTCCGAGCATTTTCCTCAAAGTCTAGCAACAGAGAGGTTTTTTTGTGTGTCTCTTCCTCATTCAAGCTCATCAGTTCTTGTATATCCTCATATGTGAAGACGTTTAAGACAGTTTAAAGCGGACGAAAGCCTTCTTGGTACTTCACTTGCGTCGGCAATCAATTCTTGGGAAGAAAATGTCAAAAATCAGGATGATCAAAGCCCAAAAGATGATACATACACTTATGAAAATGCATTAAAATGAAGTCATGAAGCAATGTTTACCAAAAAATTATTGTATTTCCAAAGAAGATGTATCCTAGAACTATGTCAAGTCACAATTTCTTCTGAATTTCTTGGAAGTATAATCTCCCATGCCCCGTTGCTTGAGCATTTAGTGATGGAATGTTTATGTGAGTTAAATCACATTGAAATCAATGCTCCCAAGCTGAGGTCATTTGTCTTCTTTGGCAGTATACATGTACTTCATTTAATAAATATCCCTCTTCTTGTAAATGTTTCAGTTACGTTTGTATAATTTTCTGGTAAGGCATGAAAACATGATCTTGCCAAATTTTTTTAGGGGATAATGCATAAAATCCTCCCCGACCTATGACCATATTACCAACTACACACCTTTTCTTTTTGGGCCCGATCCAGATAAAATGCTTGATCCAGCGACCAGGATTATGTTGATGAAATTCCTGCAAGCTTCTCAGATGTGACACTAAATCACCTTAGGGTAGTTAAGCTTAAACGTATTGCCGGAATAAGGCCTGAAATGCAGTTGATCAAGCTTCTATTGTCCAAGTCTCCAGCTCTGGTCAGAATAGTAATCGACACCCACTATGCGTTGGAAGATAAAAAATCTCTCAAAGTAGTATCAGAGATAACAAAATTTCAGCGGGCATCATCTAAAGCGGAAGTTGTATATAATGTAGATTAGTGTCTGCAGTTGCAATCCTGCTTGGTCTTCACCCGTCTTTAATCAGATGAACTGGATAGATGTTCTGAGTAGTATGTTTTATGATGCTAAGGTTTTTCTACATTTCATGCCTGATTGCTCTACTTGATCATTTCCCTTTGGCAAGCTTGAAGCATTTATTGGTATTTTTAAGGGATAGTCCGTTTAGAAGGATTAGAAGAAATCTTTTTAAAATAAAGTTCCTCTTAAAATGGCACAAAGTTTTATTAGAAAGATTAAAAAAATCATTTTCACATAAGTAGTGCACTTTTTATTTGACTGTATAAAAAAGAATCACTGCATAAACTAATGCAGCATTCAATTAGTTTGCGACAAGAAAGAAACATTAGAATATTTTAGGAGAAACAGAGATCAGTGCAGGGGATCATTAAGCAGATTATTCAGGAGGTAACATGTAAAGGGACAATGAAGCCAAAGCTAGAAAGGAAGTTAGTTTCTCTTAATTCCTAACCTTAAGTGTACTAGCTGGAGGTAGGGAAGTAGTAGTAGTAGTGATGTTCTGGTTTGGGGCATGTCCAAAGCCAATTGCTTTCGTTTCATACTTGTACATATTTGCTATTGGTAAATGAAATAGTTTACTTACCAAAAAAACAAATTCTCAAAGCCCTTTAAATGAACATTATTTCACAAAGAAAGTTCTTGTTCATATAGGCCAAGCATTTTTCTTTTTTTTTTAAAAAAAAAAAGTAACATATATAGGCCAAGCATTTTGCAAACCCATTCTTCTAAGATCAACTAAAACTAATGTGGGCATATCTTCAAGCATCTCAATTCTCAGCCTATGCAACATTCTCAATCTTGAATCAAACATTCTAAAGGAACTCATCTTCAGTTTAGTAATTACTTAGGAATGAATAATTCATAAAGGGGAGAAGTAGAAATTTGACATTTTAAGTCTGTTTAGAATGCTATGGAAGGACTTAAGGCTAATTAGCATTTATTTATCTCACGGTAAGATTATTAACCAAAAGTCAAATCACTAAACCACCATCTCAACCAATAATACATCCACAACATCTCAGATGATCCATCCAATTCAAAAGAACATCCAATTCAAAAGAACAGTTCAAATTTTTGTAGAAGAAAATTTACAATACACATCGGCTTTTATCCCCAAATAGCATGAAAAATCTGTTTTAAAAAAAAATAAATTGAAGTTTAAAGGAATGGATGACTAAATTAATCCTCGAACCAGCCCCAGCCCCAACCCCAACCTCAGCCCATCCTCGCCCTCGCCCCCGCCCCCTAATCCATCTTCCCGCCGCTCCTAAGACAACATCCTGTATACCTAATCATACAACCACCAATATAAATTGCAAGATATAATACGTGTCAAACTTTTCTTGATAGAGCATCAGCGCGTCAATGTTCACTATGTTATGCCAAAGTCGGTAGTAAAGCATTATTTTAGTTAAATACATCAAAAATCATCCATTTATTGTGACACAATCTTTTTTGTATCAGATTAGTATGATTCACTTCAAGAAGAGACAATCTTTTTGTATCAGATTAATATGATTCACTTCAAGAAGAGAGTTTATCCATCTTGTCAAACTATTTGCTTAGATCAGATTGAAGACGAAACACATTACATGTACATGATATCCATAGACATAATTGTATTCATTTCCTGACATCAAACGGTTAATCATTCTAAAATCTAAGACTCTAATGTCCTCTATTGCATGTTAGAAGATCCCCACTCAATAAACTTGACCAGAAACACAAATATACTAGGCGTCTAATGGAAAAAATAAATAAAGGAAAAGCATCACCTATATTTTATCACACTTTCATATGTTCATATCAACATTCTATATGCCAAGACTTCATCAATATACTCCCCTGACTTTGCAATTTTACAATTGCAATAGTCAAATGTATCATAAAATATGAAACCTACTATCTAGAGACACAAACAACCAAGCATAAACAAGCTAACTTTTTCACACACATGTATCAATTAAACAAAAAAAATAACCACACAACAGTAGCCATATCAAACAGCAAAGGTACAATCATCTCGACAGTCGGAGGAAGGAAAAAACACATGGCTAGCAGAAATTAGCTAAATGAGCAAAGAAGAAGGAACTACCTATGGCAGATTAAAGAATAAAAGAACATTGTTATTTCTTGGGTATATTAATATTCCTGATTAAGAATTCTTCACCTATCTACTTTATCTAAACAAACAAATTGACCAAAGAGAAAGAATAAATCCATTGGTTTCACAATAACAAAAAATAAACCACCACTCAAACCAACTAAAATTCAATATTTGATTTCCTTATATTATTATACATATAGCCTATATATAGACAAAATGTTATTATAGTTATTTAATATAGTTGTTGTTTTCTTGCATTTTAGCCTGTTTCATTTTACGAAAGATAAATTCATCAAACCATGAAATTGTTATTAAAATACGATATCCTAAATCAACAATACAAAGATTATCATAGAGATTTATGATTGTCTTAAGTTGCTCAATTTGTTACTATAAACTTTTAGTTTGTTTTCTGACTCATTATTACTAATCTATTTTCCTACATATTCCCTTCTCTTAGATGGCCTAATAATGAATATTATCATAACAATTCAATTGTGTTTTTCTCCTAAAAATGACCTCACTTTAGTCAAAGTCTTTTTAGGTCTTTCATCTTAGACAATGCAATCTATTCTCTGCTTCAAACTAATTCTTCATTGCATTGACTGTGTTCTATATGTAGTTTTCCTTTTACTGGTAGACCAACATATTAATACTTTCTACTTTTTATATAAGTATTACAACTCCAATCAGACAATCTAAATACTGCACTCGGTTTTTCAAACTTCTCTCAATACATAAACTTCACTGCCCAAGATTCAATTTTCACACGTAAGCCCTGTACTAAAACCCTATTATAAGCAGGGTCGTTGAAACTTTGTTTTTAATTGAAAAGATAAAGTTTTATCAAACATAAAACAGGCTAATATTATGAAATTACGAGCAGGGTAGCTAACACTTAGTTACATCAGCAGACAGAACTTCACTAATATGAGCACATCCGAGCTTCTAAAAACTATCACTGTAGCATAAAAATCATAAAGAATGAAATTTACCAAATTTATGAACTGACAAAAGAGACAATTCACAACATCACAACTACCAAAATGACCTTCATAAAATAACCAAAATTCCCAGGCTCAAGTTGGAATGAAGAAGGGAAACCAATTTCACAATCCAATTTCTACCACCACTTTGATCTTCCCTATGAAGAAATTGTCTTTTCAATTCTGTTTTTTTTAAATGACTCAATTGACAGAAAATCAGTCCTTCGTGTTGATTGCTTCTTCAATAAACATTAAATACAAAGATTATCTGGGGATTATTCAGATTTGTTATTGTACAGGAAAAAATCAGAAGAGAAATGGGAACCACATTACCTTTTGAACAACTTTTATATCAAGCCTTAATTTCACACCAATCCAAAATGTTATGTCAAACAAAAAAAGATAAAGTAATAAGCGAATAAAAGAAATTAGGGCTTTTAGCATAAGGATGAATTTTGGGGAGTATCCTAAGGGAATAAAAGAAATTAGGGCTTTTAGATGAATTTTGGAATTTAGAGTGCAAGGGTAGAAATCAAGAGGAACAAAGTCAAAGAGAAAGAAGGGTACCTAGCAGAAGCGAAAGAGAACCAAGTTTGCCGCCTAAGAAGAGTGTCGCTTCAGTTCACTGCATCCAAACGTTTGTTTCAACTTGTCGTAGCCAAGCAGGCATGTTGATTGTTGTAGTTTGTTGTGTCCCTACTGTATTCTTGATGTCGGCGATGGCAATGTAACAGTAAGAAAAGAAAAAAGAAGCTAAGAAGAAAAATTAGGGTAAAGCAAAAAGGGACTATAAGTGTCAAATTAGGATAAAACTATGGACATAATTACAATTTATCAAACTTGCTTTAAGAAACCTATAGGGACTTAACTGCTTACTTAATAACTTTCATCCTATTCGCTTCCGCTAATAACTAACTCCTAATGGCTAGGTACACCTATTTGAGCTGTCCGTACATGTCGCGCTAGCTGAAGCCATTCTTGTTTGCATCAATTCTCCTAGTAGATTATGAAAAAGTCGAAGAAGGGATTAAACGATGATGCGCGCGGCTTGAATTTCCTTCAGATTTTGTTTGCTAGACGTAATAATAGATTCGTGACACATCTTAGGAGGATCAAGTGCATGCAGCTTGGAATTCCTCCCGAATCCTTGAATTATTTGTTACTTGTTCCTTACTATTATCATTGATCTGTACATATGTGTGGGATATATGATATGTCACCACCCAAAACCTACAAAGAATCGTGGTGGCGCCGGACATTGCTATCGGGCAAGCCAACCAAATTACTTAATCAAAATCTCATTTTAGCACTTTTTGAAATACAGGATTTTTCCTTTATTATTTAGAAAATTCTAAAGAATATAATTTTCAAATCAAATTTAAAAATTAAGTAATTAATATTATACTTCAAATCATCCCAGAACCCGGGGTCACAAGTGCATGAGCATCTACTGATAAGAGAAATAAAATACAACATTCGTTCGGAATACAATGGACGAAAGTAAATACAGTAAACTGGAAGGGACTACCCTAGTTGCGGCCGTCTCGAAAGATGCAGCTCGTCTAGTCCCAAAATCATCCGCGCTGATATGCCTAGAAGACCACTGGAATCACATATACTTATGCAACAAAATGCATAATAAGTGTAGCATGAGTACAAAAACGACGTGTACCCAATAAATATCCCGCCTAATCCCGAAGGGATAGAGACGAGATGGTCAACTTTGACACTCACTAATAGTCCAATGATAATTCATCCTTAATAAATATATTAAACAATGGATTTATTTTATAAACATGATTCTAATCCAAATAGAGGAAACAAGTAAACACACAATTCTTTCATGGGAGTTCCCTTAGATTTCTTGTTATTATTAACAATAGGATCTCGAGCCCTAGTGAGGCATAAAACAGCTCAAATGAGTCCATGCAGCAATACAAGCATGCGCAAATCATACTGAGGTCGACGGTCCACTCCAACAGAAATAAATGTGCACTTGCTGAGGGTCGACGACCCGCCTATAGATGCATCTATTAATCTACCGAGGCGTTCGGCCCGTTCCAAAATAAACACACGCAGACAGACAATCAGTCAAACAGTCAACGTGGAACAAATATCCAAGAAAGGTCAATTCCTTTTAATAATTTGAGAAAACGAAGCTTAAGTCTTTTTAGAAATCCATTTATTTATTTAATGTGATTTAAACAATTCAAGTCATCAATGGGTTCACAATTAATCCAAGTATAACATGCTTTTTGGGTCCTAGACTACCCGAACAATAGCATAAAAGTAGCTACGCACGGACTATTGTCACCTCGTGCGTACGTAGCCCCCACAATTAGGAGCACATAATCAGTTTAACTCACCTATGGGGTAATTTTCCCCTCACAAGATTAGAAAGGAGACTCACCTCGCCCGAAGATCCTACATCCTTCCGAAAGCTCGAACCAGCGCACAGAGTTCCAAAACTAGCCAAATAACGGTAAACTAATGAGAATATACTCAAATACTTGCTAACAATTCAAATTATACAATTTCCCAACTCTGTTTTGTGAAATGACCAAAATGCCCTCGGGCTCACGTGCCCGGAATCTGAAATTTCTCAAAGATAAAGTTTACCCATTACCTAAGGATCAAGAATATATGATTTCTACTCCATTCCCTAACGATTTTCGTGGCCAAATCTTATTTTTACCAAATTCTAGGTTTTTCATCTAAAACCCTTGATTTTCCTTAATTTCACATGTTAAATCTACCCATAATCTATGTATTTAACTTATGATAGGTAGGATTAACTTACCTCCAAGTTTCTAGGTGGAAGCCCCTCTCAACAAGCTCCAAAATCGCCCCAATGCCATGAAAATGTGATGAGAAATGGTCAAAATCCGACTTTAAAACACTCATCTACCTCCAGCTATTTCCGCACCTGCGGTCCTCTGACCGCTTCTGCGGTTCCGCAGGTGCGGCCTTCTTACCGCTTCTGCGGTTCCAAACCAGGCCCCCTCTTCCGCTTCTGTGACTCGCCAATCGCAGGTGCGGTCCCGCTTCTACGGCTTCTCGACCGCATCTGCGGTACTCTTCATTTTTGGTCCTAACCGTTTCTGCGGTTCAATCCTTCGCCTATGCGGGGCCGCTTCTGCGGTCCCAAATCCGCAGAAGCAGAAATACCAGAAGCAGCAACTCCAGCCCTTCTTCGAACTCCGAATTCGATCCGTTAGCCACCCGGAATCCACCCGAGGCCCCCGGGACCCAAACCAATCATACCAACCAGTCCCACAACACATTACAGACTCATTCGAGGCCTCAAATCACATCAAACAACGCTAAAATCATGAATCAACCTCTCAAACTTTATGAACTTTAGAACTTCCAACTTCAACCTTTGATGCCGAAACCTATCAAATCACGTTCGATTAACCTCAAAATTTGCACACAAGTCATATTCGACATTACGGACCTACTCCAACTTCCGAAATCAGATTCCGACCCTTATATCAAAATGTCCACTCCCGGTCAAACTTCTCAAAAACTTTCAAGTTTCCATCTTTAGCCAAATGGTTTCAAAATGACCTACGGACCTCCGAATTCACTTCCGATTGCGCTCCCATCTCCAGAATCACCATACGGAGCTACTTCTAGTCTCGGAATCCTAAACGGACACCAATAACATTGAAATGCACTTTAAGCCAAACTGATGCAATTTCTTCTAAAAATATAACTTCCACGATAGGTGCCAAAACACTCCCGGGTCATCCAAAACCCGATCCGGGCATACGCCCAAGTCTGAAATCATCATACGAACCTGCTGGAACCTTCATATCCCGATTCCGAGGCCATCTACTCAAAATTCCAATCCTAGTTCATTCTTTTAACTTTAAGCTTTCAAAATGAAAATTTTCCTTCCAAATCCATTCTGAACTTACCGAAATTCAATTCCGACCACGCGTACAAATCAATATACCTGAAATGAAGCTGCTCGTGCCCTCAGACTGCTAAATGACGCGTCGAAGCTCAAAACGACCGGTCGGGTCGTTACATGATATATACTAGTTTTCGGACACGTATGTTGCACGTGTTTCTCGTATAAATGTGTGAAACTTCAAAATAACATGTTAATATTCAGATTAAAACGTGACAAACTAATACTTCAAATTTGTCAAAAAAAATAATAGATGTTGTTGTCTTTTCTTTGTTTGTAAGAGTAGTTTGGTTTGTATACAAGAGAAAATAATTTATGTATCAATTCTAAATTATGACAAAATTTATCTTGTAATGAACTTTGTTCACTAAGACATACAGTATAAAATTTCTTGAAGAAAATAAAAACTAAGCTAGTTAGCCTAATTACCTTTTTGTCCAAAATGATTTAAAAAAGTTCAATGCAAAAGAATGACTCCTCATTTTTTGTGTTCGTCCAAAATATAACTCATGCTTTTGTTTACATGATATTATTCCCGATCTCTAGCAATAACAATCCTCTCGAAGACGTCTGTTCTTAAACAAATAATCACTCTTTCTTATCTATAATCTTGAGACTTGATCCTCGTATTACAAATATAAAGTATATCTAAACTTGAGAAAACAACATAAACTTACAATTTGATCAAAAATATATCATCACTCCCAAAATAAAAATAACCTTTCTTTCAAGACTATCCTTTAAGTAAAAAATTGCAGATAAATTTTTATTAAAATCTAAAAGGTCAAGTTACGAAAAGATCATAAAAAGATAAAAGTAAAGTTAGGTTTGATACATCTATGGATTTCAAGTTCTAATGTGTACACATTATGATATGTTTTCCTTTAAAAGCAAAGCAAACTTAAAAATCTCAAGATAAACTACCTCAATCTATGGCAGATCAACGATAGGGGGAATGTGTTGGGAGTATGTCATGATGTAGGCGTCGGAGCAAAGAAACCTCACAAAGACAACATATTTCTGTGCCTAATAATACTTGGCGAGATAAAATACAAAAATACAAATTAACTCGGTAAAACTCACAAAGAATCGTTAAACATAAAAATTAAAATCTCCAAAGAGCACAAAGATGGAACTCACCAAGCCAGAATAAGATATTAACGTGGCCCTTCTGAAATCAATTTTTACTTTTGCCTCATTAGATATTAACTAATTAAAATTAGACTGTGGATGGTAGAAGGAAAAAGACATGAGGTAAAGCACTTCAGGGCTTCATATGAATTGATCAATTTGAACCTTATAATTTGCTTTAAAGTTGGCTTGTCCACGGGATGCTAGAGCTCTTCTTTTCGGTACCCTACTTTTTATTTTTTACATATCTCGTTTGACAATTCCAACACTCATTTATTGGATAATACAATTTGAGTTTATGTAACTGATTTTGAGTGGAATTAATGTGGACATCAAACGGTAGCTTTCATTAACTATTTAACTGGGATATATAATTAAAAACGATATAAACACTTTTTAACATTGATTAACTTAACAAATGAGAAAACTATGATTAACTTAACAAATGAAAACTACTTCATTAGCTGTTAATATCTGTTTGGATTCCAAAGAAAACTATGTCCCATTCCAATATTGAGAACCACATTGTCACGACCCATTTCCATAACAGGTCATGATGGCGCTCAACAACCTTGCCGGGCAAGCCAAGTGCGGAATATTACTAACAATTCATATAGAATCAACTCAAAGTTAAGTGAAATATCCATTCGATTTGGGTTTAGAACAAAAGAAATAATATAGTAAGTGATAAAATATTACAACCCCAAAAGCAAGTCTACTAATGCGTGTGTGTGCCAAGACATGGTGTCACAATGTACGGGCATCTAGTAGAATATACAACATCTCTACCCTACTGTCTGAAATAAGGGAAAGACAGCAAAATACAAAAGAAGACTCCATCTGGCTGCTGAGTGATGTAGGAAGGGAAGCAGCTCACCGTAGAGTCTCAACAACCACTTACTGGCGCGCATCCGGTCGATATCCAGATGAATCAGCCTCAGACCCTGTACATTTAAGTACAAAAGTGTAGCATGAGTACATAAACAATATGTAACCAGTAAGTATCCCGTCTAATCTCGGAGAAGTAGAGACGAGAGGTCGACTTGATACCTACTAGGTCAAGATAATATCATAATAATGATGTACAATATAAAGCATGGATAATTCGATTAAA